ATATACATATATGACTCGTTCCACGGGCGGCGCTGATCACTTTACATCAAGCGAGCGGTTCTACTCCGTCGCCCCACTATCCTATAAAAACCTTACCTCTGATGTAGGTCTTGAGACAAGGTTTTACGGTATTTTGAAGATGTTTTTATAATGGCGTAAACCGGTAAATGAGCAGACGGATTACCTGATGGTAAGCAATCGGCACCGCCCATGGACACCTGAAACAAAGTTTTAAGTTATTTTGAAGATGTTTTTTTATGACATAAGCCGGTGAACTAGCAGACAGATCACCTGATGGTAAGCAATCGACGCCTCCCATGGACACCTGGAACACCAAGGCATTACAAGTGCGTTACCGGCCTTGGGAATTGGGAATTTGAGGATTGTGGAGGATTCGGGGTTTGGGAAGACTGGGGAGAGGGATTAATTAGGCCTGCAGTAACCTAACTCTGTTTTCTGTGAGGCCGTGGTATTACTCCGGTCGAGCGTGCCCATTTGTGCCGAAGCATGGCTCCCCCACACTTAAATGTAAAGTTATAGACTGAGAGATTAGGATTCCTAGAACAGTTAGGTACAGAGATGCGAAGAAAAAGCGAATAAATGCGGTAGGAAAACTAAATGATATGGTAATATACCTTAAATATTCTTCAACCACCGTGTAAATTTAATAAGAATTTAAAATCTGATGTCGTTGTAACCGTTTTGGTATTCAGAATGTCGCGATCGGAAAAACTAGGGCACGAATATCGATGAGTTTGGATTTTTTCTCGTTATATTCGAGATGGTAAAGGAACTCCTTGATTTCAACCTACTTTGTTCGACAACCGTTTATTTTTCTTTCTTTTTATTCTGTTGAATTGGTTTTGAATTTGGAATTTTTGTGGTTTGATTAATTTTTTTTTGCGTCCGAATGTTGTTTTGTAAACAAACGAAACGGGGAAATGACAACTTTTATTATGGACAAAATGAAAAGATTAAAATTTTATGTAGTAAGAAATCGTGTTGAATATCTATCTATGTAATATCTTGATGAATAGAGCCAAAACTAAAATTAACGAAAACTAAAATTAGCGTCTATGCATCAAATAATTAGAGGTATTATACTAGCTGTTGCTATTGCCAGCTGTTGCCAGCTAGCTATCGTTAGCCACAAAAACACACATAACATCACGCCTTTTATCTCCGAAGGGGTAGGCGGAGGTGAACATTACGGCATTTAACGCCACTGAACAATGTAACACCCACTTTTCACTATTTATGTTATGAGTCCCATGTAATAGTAAGTATCTAAGCCTTTTGCCATGTACTGGGCACAATTCCAGACTCCGTGGCTGGCTGAGATTTTTTTAAAAGCCCAGTAGTATTTGCGACACGGGTTTCGAACCCGAGACCCCTTGCCTGACAGTCACACCTGTGACTCCGCACTTGCGACCAATCGGCCAACGAGGCAGTCTGACACAAAAATTACATTATAAAACATTGTACCATATTTTTTTTAAATATTAATAAATGAAGATGATTTTAAAATAGTAACCAAATATAGCTTAATTATAATCTACTAATTTCTGCCCGCGACTTCGTACGCGCAATCCCGTTGTCTCCCGTTCACCTAGGATTTCCAGGATTTTTTTCTGTCATAAGAACTTTCTCATCAAAAACAAAATCATAATTATATTATGTACTTAGTCTGTAAACATACCCTGGCATGGCAACAGCCCATCAATTACATCCTGAACAGCGTTCACCCCATTTTAAACCTAAAAGGCATTACAATAAATGTTAATATCATTAATATTCACACGGCCCCACATCAATCTATACAAAACCAGTTTATGCTGATATCGCGTCGCATCATCTTCCCGCACATTTAACGTTCAGTTTATACTGGTTATGTAAAGCTCGATGTGTAGCAGTGTGTACATCAATTATTAATTATTTAAAATAATTACATCCTAGTACGGCTATTGTTGAAAAGTAGGTCATTGGTAAATTAATTTTACTTCGATTGTATGGAAATATTATTTCCTGTTTATTATGTTACATGTCATTTACAGGCTTCATGTAACATTTAGTGTTTTATTGTTGGCGTAATTGGATATAGGTCTGTCGAATACTTGTGAAACATTGTGAGGCAACTTAGACTTTATAATTTCTAATTGTAACATAAGATAACATCACGCCTTTTTGCCGAAGTGGTAGGCAGAGGTGCACATTACGGCACTTTATTCCACTGTACAATGTAAACCGACTTTTCACTATTTATGTTATGAGTCCCATGTAATAGGGGGTGAGCCTATTGCCATATACCGGGCCCAAATCCAGACTCCGTGATATTACTGAGATTTTTTTTAAAAACCCATTGGATACTACTTTGCCCGACACGGAGATCGAACCCGAGACCCCTTGCCCGGCAGTCGCACTTGCGACCACTCGGCCGACGAGGCAGTCAGACAGTTAGACTTTACAATTTTATTACAAATTTGGTTATTCAACAAGGAGTCTCAGGTTCGATTCCCTGGTCGGGTAAGGTATTACAGAGTATCTAAAAAAGATTTCAGTAGTAGCACGGAGTCTGGAATTATGCCCGGTATATGTCAATAGGTTCATCCCTGTATTACATGGGACTTATAACATAAATCGTGAAAAATCGGTTTACATTGTACAGTTACATAATGTGCACTTCTGCCTACCCCTGCAGAGATAAAAGACGTGATGTTCTGTTATGTTATAAAATGTTATGTCAATTTCCCATTTGTAAATTGTGTCATACATCAGAGCCAAGTCATTGCGTCTTCAAGGCAGTACATAGTGTGGGGGTAACAGAATACAAGCATAAACAGCAATAAAGGGAGAGCATTCCGTTATTACTTGTAAGTGAACACGTAAAGGCGATAGAGTGACTGTACCTTTAGAAAGAGCTTGGATAAAACAGGACATATGTAAGTAGGAATTAACTACATTAAAATTCTGGTTTGTTCACTTTTTAAATAGGTTACAATGAATTTTTTGTAGGTTCAGTGTGGGAGGGCTTTGCTTTGGAACGAATGGACCGGCTCGACCACAGCGATACCACGGCCTCACAGAAAACCGACGTGAAGCAACGCTTGCGTTGTGTTTCGTCGTGTGAGTGAGGTTACCGGAGGCCCAATTCTCCGATCTCCCCAACCCCTGAATCCCCAACGATCCCCAAACTCCTAATCCCCAAAAAGCCGGTAACGCACTAGTAACGCCTCTGGTGTTCCAAGTGTCCATGGGCGACGCCGATTGCTTATCATCAGGTGATCCGTCTCCTCGTTTACCGGCTTATGCCATAAAAAAAAAAACATAAAAATTCTGGTTTGTTCACATTTTAAATAGGTTACAATGTATTTTACACACAATTTTGTCTTTCATGTTTTTGTGGCTTATAATAAAATAACACATCACGCCTTTTATCCCCGAAGGGGTAGGCATTACAGCACTTAGTGCCATTTCAGACTCCGTGCTACTACTGAGGTGTTTACAAACCCAGTAATATTTTGTCCGACCCGGGAATCGAACCCGAGACCCCTTGCCCGGCAGTTGCACTTGCAACCACTTAACCAATGATGCAGTCTAATAACATAAATAAAATCATATAAAAAAATAAAGCACTTCACAAATAAGAAACGGAAAAACACTGAAGAATTATCCCCTTTCCTTACCATACGAGGGTCCTCCTACTCCTTTGAAGGCACTGCACTTCGCTACATGAAGCGAATGACCCAGAAACTGTACTCTCGATATAAAACCGCGAATGTGTGGGGAATACATCTTACTTTTAAACTAATGTTGACTGGACTACCTTGGGAAACATATCAATTCCCAAAGTGCTTGGGTATTTTGCGAAGATTTCTGAGTGTTTTTGGTCAAGTTAGATTACTTAATACTATGTTTTGATTTCAATGCTCAAGTTTAGATATTGTTTTTTAATTTTCTTAATTGCATTATGTGTATGACTACATATTCACCTCTACATACATAGAAAGCTACGTCCATTGTAACGTATGTAGGCATAACTTTTGATTAATTTTGTTTTCGACCCAACAAAGTTTACTCGGCAAGTTCGTGAGTCTTAAAAATCAAGCGATTGTTTTGTTGTTTATTTATACTTTTAGTTTAAGAAAAGCTGAATGAAAAGACGCACGGTTGGTACGCTGGCTGGGCAACCGGCTGCCGTGCATCGTGTCGCGGGTTCGATTCCTGCACGTAACAACACTTTGTGTGATCCACAGACTGTTGTTTCGGGTCTGGGTATGATTGTGTATGTGAACTTGTATGTATGTAAACGCACGGATTTACTAAAAAAAAAGAAGCGCTGCAGGTGTTTGAAATGAATAGCAGATTTTTTTATGGAATAGGCTAGTAAACGAGCCGACGAATCATCACCTGATGGTAAGCAATTGACGCCTCGCATGGACATCTGAAACATCAGAGGTGTTACTAGTGCGTTACCGGCTTTTTAGAGATTAGGTATTTGATAATTGTTGGGGCATTCGGGGATTGGAAGACTGGGGAGGGGAGTAATTGGGCCTCTGATAACCTTACTTACACGACGGAACACAACGCAAGTGTTGTTTCACATCGGTTTTCTGTGAGGCCGTGGTATCATACCGGTCGAGCCAGCCCATTCGTGACGAAGCATAGCTCTCCCACAAAAATCTTATTAGACTTATTTTATGAAATAAGAAAAATAACATAAAATATGTAATTTTGGTACTTAAGACTTTCTCTTTTAACGACCCCACATATACACGATTAATCACAAAATTAATCTTTTTGAAAAATAACGATAAAAAATTCCCACAAATTAATTTCAAATGAAACAAATCAATGTTCGATACATTTTATCAACAGATTAAACTGTTATGCAAACTGATAAAGTATTACGAACAGATATTAGTATAGATAACTCCAAAAGATTAGATAGTACCGTCAATATTTTTAGTACAGTTGCCAACGTTGTTAGGAATAGACATAAAATGGCTAAGAAAGCTAAAAAGAAAGATGTAGAAGAAGTTAAAGATAGGAAAGAGAAGAAAGTAGTTGAAAAGGCAGAAGTAAAAGACAGTAATAGTGTTTTGACTGTAAGTAAGAACAAATAATATTATTACATTTTAGTTCGTATTAATTCCACCAAAAAGATTCTAAAAAAATAAGCCAAGTCTCGATGGAGCTGCTAGTTTATCTCTAAAAAGTAATGAAATATAACAAAGTCGTGGCAAGTCTAAGATTCATTATTGCGATTTCATTATTACTATAGTTGATGTGGTGTGGCTTTGCCGTTAGAATAAGAAGTTCAGGTAAAAATAATGCATATAATCAAGTATTATGATTTTTTAGTTTGTTTCTAGAATTTACTTTCCGACAGCCCTGACAAACAAAAATCCTTATCGTTTTCCTTATGAATGAGATTGATAAAAATTGGATCAGTGTTATTTTATTACATAATTATATTTACAAATATTTTACACAAAATAATAGGTGGCAAGTTCACGATAATTGTTATTACATTTAAAGTGTACTTAAATTAATTTGTGTTTCCGAAATGAAAATTCTTTGAATACTATTAAATAAGTTTTTTTTTACTGAAAATCGCGAGTTACTCACGTGAATATACTGAGAAAAGTTCTACTAGTTTCGAACCACAGAGAGGTTCTTGCTCATGAGCAGCGTGCGCGGTCGCGGCGACGTCGCGCAGTCAACTAGTAAAGGTTACCTCAATATATTCACGTGAGTAACCCGCGATTTTTAGTTAATTTAGTATGTCTCACGATAGGTGTAGTATTATAAAAAATATGTATTTTGATATATATTTGATGGGCCTAACGTTTGACCACTCTCTCGCCTGGTAGTAAGCGATGATGCGGCCGACGATGGAGTACGTTGTCCCATATGCAAACTATTAAGTGAAGACTATTTACCTTAAACTATGAATTTCTTTTGCAGCTAGCATCATTCGTCTCTCTAGTAGCATTTGCAATGTTATGTATGATTGTATACAATATCTATACAGATGTCGTTCATGTCCCAGAAATGCCTACATTTGATTTGAACAGACGTTGGGGGCCAAATACTACGACACCTGAAGATACATCTATTAGACCTTATCGCATTGTGTTTAGTGATTCTGTAAGTAAACATTTTAATAACATAACATTACGCCTTTTAACCCCGAAGGGATAGGCAGAGTACATTATGCCACTGTACAATGTAACACCCACTTTTCACTATTTATGTTATGAGTCACATGTAATAGGGGGTGAGCCTATGTTGACTGCCTCGTTGGCCGAGTGGTCGCAAGTGCGACTGCCGGGCAAGGGGTCTCGGGTTCGAGTCCCGGGTCTGGGAAAATATTACTGGATTTTTAAAAAAAATCTCAGTAGTGGCACGGAGTTTGGAATTGGGCCCCATATATGGCCATAATACCAAAAGAAAAGGAAAGAAAGGAGATGACCCCTATTACATGGGATTCATAACATAAAGAGTGAAAAGTGGGTGTCACATTGTACAATGGTAATAAGCCGTAATGTGCACCCTCTGCCTACCTCTTCGGGGATAAAAAGGCGTGATGTAATAATAGGCAGTTGTAAAAATAATTTTGTCACTGCATTTAACCGAAGTAATAGAACACGCATAGTCATGTAGACACAATTATATACCTAGGCATAAACTAACACAAGAATTACTATCATTAATCAAAATAATAAATAAACATTATTCGTTTGTTTCAGATGAATTTAGAAATACGATGGCTCTTTGAGATGTATAGAAGATACGAGATGAAGAAGAGCTTTAACGACACAGCATGGACATATGGAGTACATTCAGAAGCATTTTCGAAAATATTTAACCATTGGATTTTTCACTACGATTTTGCGAACCGAGAAAGATATTTAAATCAATTCGAACAATACAAGACTAAGATTCAAGGGTTGGATATTCATTATATCCACGTGAAGCCTAAAGTGGAGGTCAATGTTAAGGTAACTTGAGTCATTAAGCGTCTGTTTAGCCTAACTTTCTGCAGTCTAGGATTTTCTCCTGTCACTGATGTGATACCCATAATAAACCCATAATAAATGTCGTGATGGTCCGGAGGTTTAAGATGCATCTCAAGCATGAGGGTGCGAAGGTGCATTTGGAGGTTGGGAAGATTGGGGGGGGGGGTAATTGGGCCCCCGGTAAGCTAGACACTAAAGGATAATTTTCTTGAACCCTTTTTTTACACCATTCATCTCTATAGACAGTTATGAAATATTCAATTTGAAACGAATCTTCCTATGAGAAGCTTCATATAAAAATAAAATTATTATAGAAATTCCCATTTCAAACACACAGAGGAAATTGATTCACCCAAACTTGTAAGCGCTAATGCCTAATAAGAAAAATATAATCACATTCTTCATCCACATAAACCCCAATTCAATTTCGAGTCTAGGATTATGGTATGATCCAGTACCTACGTACAGTCTGCACATTTATTTGCTTCTATAAAAATTTGTTTCAATAGATATTTGAGAAAAAACTCAAGTGTGGAAGAGCCATACTTCGGCACGAATGGGCCGGCTCGACCGGAGTGATACCACGGCCTCACAGAAAACCGACGTGAAGCAACGCTTGCGTTGTGTTTCGTCGTGTGAGTGAGGTTACCGGAGGCCCAATTACCCTCCCCTTCCCCAATCTCCCCAATCCCTGACTCCTCAACGATCCTCAAACTCCTAATCCCCAAAAACCCGGTAACGCACTTGTAACGCCTCTGGTGTTCCAGTTATCCATGGGCGACGCCGATTACTTACCATCAGGTGCGGTGGCTGGGCAACCAGCCGGCGTACAACGTGTCGCGGGTTCGATTCCCGCACGGAACAACACTTTGCGTGATCCACAGATTGTTGTTTCGGGTCTGGGTGTCATTGTGTATGTGAACTTGTATGTTTGTAAACACACCCACGACACAGGAGTAAATCGTAAAGTGGGGCAAAGTTTTTTTTTTTTTAAAAATTGTTTCTATAGAAACTTTTGTTTAACTACTGGTTACAAAAGATATTATAATTACCTAGCTTCTGCCCTCGACTTCGTACGCACAATCCCGTTTTCTCTCGTTCCCGTAGGATATTCAGGATTTTTTTTCTATACATATAATGCAAATTGGTCGAGCCATTCTCAAGTTATGGCGTGATAAAGGGAAACGGGTTTCATTTTTATATTATTACAATAGAACAATAACTTAATAATAGTACTGTCTCTGTATTGAGTCCATATTTATTTTCTTATCTGCATAGCAAATAACATTAACAGCCTCTAAGTACCTACTGCTAAGCAAAGGCTTCTTCTAACATAGAAAAGTAGATATCCAACCCACACGCACGAAGCACTTCGAGCTTCCTTGTACGTACTTCTACGAAGTGGAATTCTTTGCCAGAGTCTGTATTTCCTGAAGGGTATAACCTCGGTTTCTTCAAGGCCCGATTGAATAGGTTGCTTATGGGTCGACGTGCTGCATCGTAGACCACATCACCGCTTACCACCAGGCGAGATACTGGTCAAACTTCGCGCGTCGGCCCATGAAATATTAAAAAAAAAAGTTATGTAAATTGTACTTACCTATTCATGTTTTTCTTCACTACATGTCACTGGTGTGTAAATAATCTTAAAAAGTACATATAACTCGAAAGAGTATCATTAGTATTTGCTAGATTTTGCATACTGCATGCCTTTAACTTTCAAACTACCACGACATTTTTCATCATTCGCTATCTGTTGTTGTTAGGTACGAAATAATAGTGCAGACTGTACGCGTATGTTCGGATTTTTTGAAGATAGTTTCCACGTACTCTCAGCTCAATGAGAGGAATTTGATAGGTAACGATTTTAGTCGCTGCAATCGAACGCTTCGACATACCATCTAGTTGAATTGGCACAGCTAAAAGCGATTACATGTGTCGCTCGCTAACTGGAAAATATTGGCGATTGAGAGCGCAGAAAGATGTGTGTTTTGGTCCATATTTCGTGTGAATTGGTGACGTTTTCTGGGATTGATTTTTGATTTAGTTTTGCATCATCATAACATCATGCCCGAAACGAAGGAATAGACAGAGTTGCACATTACGGCACTTAATGCCACTGTACAATGTAACATCCACTTTTCACTATTTATGTTATGAGTCCCATGTAATAGGGGGTGAGACTATTGCCATATACCGGGCACTATTTCAGACTCCGTAGTACTACTGAGATTAAAAAAATAACCGAATCCTCTTGCCTGGCAGCTGCACTTGCGACCACATGGCCAACGAGGCAGTTTGTAAGATCTGCATTCATTTTTACATATTATTATGGTCGTCATTTTGGTTGGACTTAATATCAACTGGACTTGTGAATTAGTTAGTTTATTAGAATGAAGATGTTAGAATGCTCTTGTGTTAAAGTAATTTGCAGTTAACCAAGATATGATCTCGTTATTATGCTGAATGATAGATCAAATTTCATTTCAGGCGTTAGTTACGTCATGTATTGTATTGGGTTTCGTTTCTAGATAGCGCAAATCATTATTGAGGTTTACCTACAAGACGGTTGCTCTAATTAAAGCACTATTAGACTCTTGAAGTATAATAATAATAATATTTTTTTTATAGTAAACGTTGCCCCACCCACACTAGGATTCAAAGTCAAAGCATTTATTTCAATTAAACCATAGTTTGGTACTTTTGAAACGTCAACAAATACAAAATAAATAATAGTCTGTCAGTCAGTCCGTCAGTGAAACTAGGTGAAGCTAGGTGCTCATTCCAAAATGTAGATTCGAATGGAGAAGATCGAGCAAGAAACTCCATTCGTTACTCTTTTTCTAAGATTTTCTCCTGTGTCGTGTTTGGTTTTACAAACATACAAGTTCACATACACCCAGGCACGGAACAACAATCTGTGAATCACACAAAGAGTTGGTCCATGCGGGAATCAAACATGCACCAACTCTGCAGTCAATTTGTGAATATTGCACAATTTCAGTTGTCAGTTCGATTGTCAGTAAATATTGTTTTATTTTCCCAGGTTCTGCCTCTCCTACTGTTGCATGGATGGCCAGGCTCGATCAGAGAGTTTTACGAAGCGATACCCTTGTTGACCACTGAGAGACCGGGATACAACTTTGTATTTGAGGTCATCGTTCCTAGTTTACCCGGCTTTGGGTTTTCGCAGGTAAGTTAATATAATCTTTAAGTGGGGAAAATCATCGAATGAATGAAATGAATCCCACCCGCCTGGATGAGGTCGATGGGAGTGTTAGACTCTTACTGACTACAATCCCCCGTTAATACGCGTGCACTTCAAGTCGGAGCCCCGGCAACCTGTTCAGTCCTCCACGGTTTCGAATCGGCATCAGCCTTATTGGGCCCCATCCGTGGTGCCCAATAAGGCTGATGGCTCCTTGATGCGCGCGCGGAACGCTCGGCGCCGTATACTCGGGTCTTGGTTAGGTCGGGCGGCGAGCTACCCATGCTCACCGTCCGCCGTTAATTTAATGTTAAGTAGCGAATTATTAGTAGAATTAATGTATTTAAGATATTCACTAGAAATCTATTAAGAATCTGTTCCTTATCCAACCATATAAATAAAAATGAATTTTTGTTCGTTAATCTCGCTAAAACTCGAGAACGGCTGAGCCGATTTGGCTAATTTTGGTCTTGAAATGTTCGTGGAAGTCCAGGGAAGGATTAAAAGATGAGAAAAAAGTTTTAGGCAGTACGAAGTTTTCCAGGTCAGCTAGTCAATAATAATAATGATGTCAATCATAACTGCATTGTCCACATAATCAAAATTAAAACATGGTATAAGCGGTTTTCTAAGAGCACCACAAAATGCCCACATAAGCATTGTTTACTAATATCTATAGGGGCGTGGTATGTGTAAATAAACAACAGAGCTCTGAAGAATTTAAAATTGAATTCTTTCTTGACAGTAGCGTTAGCAGCTATTAAACATATTTGTTTAATTATAACAGCGTCAATTCTCATTACACCTTATTCCTTTTGCCTTAATAACCAAATACCTTTCTTCGTAATAATAGGGATGATGACAGGGTATGAACATTAAAAATATAATTAGTCCGTAAGTTAAGTAATGAAAAAATTTTAGACACGTATTTTTTTATTTTGTCTTATAATAAAACAATACTTAGATAAAACGAAACAAAGTTTAGGAGTGGGGGCTAAAACGTCATTTCTACGTATAAAATGTACTCAGAAGTGACGTCACGCGACATTTCAAATCAATATATTGTCGAAAGTATTCGTTTCTGTAAGAAAATAAATAATACGTGTCTAATGATTTAAAATAATCTACCAGACGGACATTAAAATAAAAATTAGGCACCTACCCTATTTCCAGCATCTTTTCAATTTATTTCTGTATATATCTAAGAACAACTCAAAGTTTTCGGGTCAATTATCTTACAAGAACCTTTATTTTCAGGCTCCAGTCCGTCCGGGCTTGTCTCCGCATCAAATAGCAATTATAATGAGGAATTTGATGCAAAGGCTTGGTCACAAACAGTATTATGTTCAAGGTGGGAACGTTGGTCACATAATTGGATCACACATGGCCACTATATTCCCTGAAGAAGTGATTGGTTTCCACTCTAACTTTCCTGTCAACTTTTCGAAGTATGCTCAGTGGGTTTGGGTGTTGGGTAGTATTTGGCCAACATTTGTCGCCAATGAGAATGTGGATCGAATGTATCCTTTGGGCCAAAAACTGAAGTTTTATTTGGAAGAGTTTGGGTTCCTGCATCTGCAAGGGACTAAGCCGGATACTATTGGTGAGATTTTGAGATGTTCTCTATTTGGGATAGTGGATTTTGTATTACTCGCAACCGGTTTTCGTTTGTAGTGGTTTAAAGTGACTGCCTCGTTGGCCGAGTGGTCGCAAGTGTGACTGCCGGTCAAGGGGTCTCGGTTTCGATTCCCGGGCCGGGCAAAGTATTACTGGGTTTTTAAAAAAATCTCAGTAGTAGCACGAAGTCTGGAATTGTGCCCGGTATATGGCAACAGGCTCACCCCCTATAACATGGGACTCATAACATAAATAGTGAAAAGTGGGTGTTACATTGTACAATGATATAATGTGCACCTCTACCTACCCCTTCGGGGCTAAAAGGCGTGATGCTATGTTTGTTTGTTTGGTTTAAAGTGGTTTACGATAATGATGCTGAAAATGTTGCAGTTTTTCATAGATGTAAACCAAACTGAGAGACTGAGAAATAAGAAATCAGATTCTCTTCATAATGCTGACAACTTTTAGTCAATGCTTATTGCCTGTGTAGTTTTTTATTACATGAGACTTATAACATAAATAATAAAAAATGAGTGTTAATAATTAATACACTTAATACCACTTTACAGTACAGCAGTATTAAGTTCCGTAATGTGCACCTCTGCGTACTTCTCGGAGATAAAGTAAAAATTGTTTATAGTTTTTGATAATTAAGTCAATATAGATCCAATAATGGGATTTTCGATGTACTATATTAGCTCAATTTGTACTAAGTATCTCTATCACAATATTAAAATCCACGACAAATTAATCCAAATCCAAAAAACTATAAACAACCTCTGGCTCAACCGGAGCAAAACCACGGCCTCACACAAAACTGACGTGCAATAACGCTTGCGTTGTGTTTCGTCGTGCGAGTGATGTAGCGCCTCTGATATTCCGGTAGTCCATTGGCGACACCAATTACTAACCATCAGGTCTGCTCGTTTACCGGCTTATCCCATGAACGCTTCTGGTGTTTCAGTTGTCCAAAGGTGACGCCGATTGCTTACCATTAGATGGTTCATCTGCTCGTTTACCGGCTTATCCCATAAAAACCCACGCTCCTTTTTCACCAGCAAACAATTTTAGCACCACCAAGTACAGTTTCTAAACTTATCCAGTTTTAGAATCAGGATTTAAAACAAAATCTGCCAGCAACGTTTTAGTGCCGCCATTCTAAATGTCCAGACAAAGACTATAAAGCTTAAGAGTGTATAATGAAAGGGAGATCGCGAAAAATGTTCAAATAAGAGAGAATTAAACGGCTTATTGTTCCCAGCTAAAGTGGATGCTATAAATTCATCGGGAGTGTGTTCTGAATTGACTATTGTGTTGGTATTAGATTCTGTGCTAGAGTTTTCTCTTTTTTCTTTGACAGTTTTTGCTGAGTATTCGTTTAATAAAAATTATTCAGCATTTTTTTCTATGAGTTGTTTTTTGATATAAAAAATGCTATTAATAAAATCTTTAACGCTATTTTGCTTGGTCGTGGTGTGAATAATTAATGTATTTAGGTACGTCATAATGAATGTGACACGTTCAGGCCTACAGTCGTCTAACTATGGTGTGACCCTTTTGTAACACCGAAGTGTAAACACTCTCTGTCAATTGGGATGATAACAGAGTTTGAAAATAAAAAATCGAATAAGTCCATAAGTTAGGTAATGAAAATATATTAGACACGTTTTTTTTATTTTGTCATATAATAATACAATACTTAGATAAAACGAATGAAAGTTTAGGAGTGGGGGCTAAAACGTCATTTCTACGTATAAAATATACATAAAAGTGACGTAACGCGACATTTCAAATCAATATATCGTCGAAACTAATCGTCGTAAGAAAATAAAAAACACGTGTCTAATGATTTAAAATAATTTACCAGACGGACATTAAAATAAAAATTAGGCATCTACCCTATTGCAAAAAATTTAAACATTAGTAAAATTGTTCTCGATCTGAGGATGAAAGCAGAGATCTATAATTTTATAGAAGATGTCCAACAGTGGACCTTATACCACTGATGATAATATTCTATTTGTATTTTATTCCAGGTGTGGCTCTCCAAGATTCTCCAGCAGGTCTTGCAAGCTACATCCTCGATAGGATCATGATCTTCACGGACCCAGCCAATAAGCTCGACCCTGACGGTGGCATGGAGAAATACTACACCTACGACCAACTCCTGGACAATATCATGCTGTACTGGATTTCTGGGAGCATCACAACTTCTATGAGAATTTATAAGGAAATTTTTGAAGACAGTGATATGGAGAAGATAATTGAACTGTGAGTATTATTTGCAGAAAGAATATTTATAGTGAATAGGTTGCTTATGGGACGACGTGCTCCATCGTAGACCGCATCATCGCTTACCATCAGACGAGATAGTGGTCAAATGTCGGCTCATCAAATATAAAAATAATAGAAAAAAGTGTGGGAGAACCATGCTTCTGCACGAATGGGCCGACTCGACCGGAGTGATACTACGGTCTCACAGAAAACCGACGTGAAGCAACGCTTGCGTTGTGTTTCGTCGTGTGAGTGAGGTTACCGGAGGCCCAATTACCCTCTCCTTCCCCAGTCACCCCTTCCCCAATCTCCCCAATTCCTGAATCACCAACGCTCCTCATACTCCTAATCCCCAAAAGGCCGGCAACGCACTTGTAACGCCTCTAGAGTTCCAGGTGTACATGGGCGACGCCGATTGCTTACCATCGGGTGATCCGTCTGCTCGTTTACCGGCTTATGCCATAAAAAAAGATGCAAATAAATTCCATCCAACCGATCTGGAACACATCAGGGAGGTCTATGAAGCGAGTCGCTTTATGAAGGTTACTTTCAATCAGACGATTTGAAAAACTTTAAGCTCTGTTGATCAGTATGATTATGTTAAAGAGTTAAGGCTTGTGCTAGATATGAAGATGATAATGATGAAGATTTATGATAAGCTAGTGACAGCCTTAGAATTTGAAACGCCTGAAGCCTGAAGACCTGTATGTATTGCCTTAACATGCAAATAAAGAGTTTGTGTTTGATGGTTATACTACCTTCATGACTATCACGAGACATAATACATTTTAATTAACTATTTAGTACGACATTCATGGAAGTCTTCGATGAGGCAACTTTATTTGTTTCAAACCATACTCGAGGCCCATAGCCATGGCCAACATATGAGACAACGGACGTGGCGAGGTTTTAAAGCTCATATTCTTTGGAAAATATTGTCTTTGTGTGTCTCCATTTAAATCAAAATCTGTTTCAAACTATGCTCCGTCCAAAAGCCGTGGTCATATTGTGTAGAATTTATAACACCCTAATCCCAACTTATTAGGGAATCTAACTGTCTAGAATGTAAAACAATATTATGACTACAGTCATAATTGGAAAATTTGCAAGTTATACAGTAACGCTGCTAGTCATACGTGTCTACCGACTGCTGACAGTGATGTGGGTATATACAACATATGACAGATGTTGTTTTGTCTTTGTGTTGTATAATATTTTGAAGATGTTCCTATAGTTTTATGTACATATATGTATACTAGCTACTTCCGCGCGGTTTCACACGCTCTGCTCAGCTCCTATTGGTCGTAGTGTCATGTTTTATAGCCTATAACCATCCTCGATAAATGTACTATCCAACACAAAAATAATTATTCAAATTAGACTTCTAGTTACGGAGATTAGCGCGTTCAAACAAACAACCAAAAAAATAAACTGTTATGCTTTATATAATAGTATAAGATTAGTTTATGTATGTCGTGAGTTTTAGAGTATGTCGTGGTGGCCCGAAGGTTTAAGACGCTCCTCATGAATGAGGCACACGGCTAGTACCAATGTGACTTTTTCCGAGTTATATGTACTTTCTAAGATTATTTAGACACCACTGACAAACGGTGAAGGAAAACATCGTGAGGAAACCTGGGCTTATAATTTCTAATTATAAGTTTGAAATCGCCAATCCGCATTGAGCAAGCGTGGTGATTTATGCTCAAACTTTCTTCGTGTGAGAGAAAGCCTTTGCCCAGCAGTGGGCATTTAATATATGTTGATGATAATGATGATGTATATTAGTTTTGTTTGAGGGTATAAGCACATGTTAGAGTAGACTTAGCTGTGTGATAACAGAGTAGAAAACATTTACCACCACTTCTATTATTACCGTGAGTGTCGTAAAAACCGACTAAGAAGTTTTATTGAAAACTAGCTACTTCCACGCGATTGCACTCCCTCTGCTCGGCTCCTAATGATCATAGCGTGATGTTTTGTAACCTATAATCTTCCTCGATAAATGTACTATCCAACACAAAAAGAATTATTGAAATCGGACTGGTAGTTTCGGAGATTAGCGCGTTCAAACAAACAAACAAAAAACAATTTTGTCCAGTTAAGTAGTCAACAGCCTTAGCGTGCTGAACTACACGAGTGGACCTAACCTAAAAAAAAAAACAAAAAAACAAACTCTTCAGATTTATAATATTAGTATAGATAGAAGCAGCACAATTCTCTGTTAAACCTTTTTTTGAATGAGAAAAATTAGTCAATGACTACTACCACATAGGGTGAGGCAGGAGGGAATGTCAGACTGTTATGGACTAAAAACCACCATGTTCGTACTCCTGCTTCGAGCCGGAGCCCCGGTAACCCGCTATGCCGTACGCAGTGTCGCGGAGAGCCTAACGGGTTACCGGGGCTCCGGCTCGACGTGCAGGAGAAGGAACGCGGTGGTTTTTAGTCAGTAAGAGTCTGACACTCCCTCCCGCTTCACCCAGGCAGGAGCAGTCTTTCGATGATTTTTTCCCCCTTAAAAAATGCCGTACGCAGTGATCTCTAATAAACCTGAACCATTTAAACGGCGATCTTTAAAACCTTAAGGCTTTGACTGCTAATAAAGAAACTGTTGAAGGCAAATCCCCTGCTAACGTCGGTCACCGGTGACCGCCATGGCGTTTAATGTGTTAAAAATAAAACTGTAAATTCTTCTGTTACGAATGCTTATTTTTCTTGTTCCAGAATTCCAACTTCAGTGCCGACATGGGGAGCTCGATTCAAGAATGACCTGGCATACACTCCAGACTTTCTTCTAAAATGGAAGTACCCCAACTTGTTAGGTACTTCGAATTACAACGTAGGAGGACATTTAGCTGCTTTCGAGAGGCCGAAAGAGTTTAGTGAGAGCATTTTCCAAGCCGTCAAAGCATTTGTGGCATTCTCAAAATAAATGTTTTTTTTTATTTTCTTACATTGTTGTTTATTATTATTCTCAACTAGCTGTTGCCCGCGACTTCGTTCGCGTGGAATTGTGATTCACAGCTCCTCCTCCGTAGATGATAGCGTGATAATATGTAGCCTATGTGTTGACCCGACCTGTTAGTAATTTTTATGCAAAATTTGAAGTAAATCCATGCAGTACTTTTTGTGATCATCCAGGACATACATACAGACAGACAAAAATTTCAAAAATCATATTTTTGGCTTTCGTATCGATTGTAGATCACGCCCCAAGTATTCTTTTAAAAAAATATTCAATGGACAATTTTGACTTTTCTACGATTTTATTATAGGAATAGATACGAGAAATTAGATTGCCATAAGTAGGTACTATTAAAATATACTTAGTCGTTGTTTACCGTTCACCGTCTGTTCATATATCTTAAAACGCTTAGTAAATAAATATTGTCGTTTAAAAAGACTACAGATTAAAACCGTTTCGTAGAATTTATAAGTCATGCAGTCATCACAAAGAACAATACAAATCTAACTCAATCTCCATTATCGAATTAAAATGTGAAATCAAAGAAGAATTATCAATGGCAACGTTAGCAAAATAAAAAAAAATATGGATAATCCTAATGCCAGACGAGAAATTGACAAAGCAAAATCAAATTGCATTCGTTCTAAAAACAAACGACGAATAAGACAATCGAAATTTAAAAATTCGCGCGCACAACACCGTGTTTCTAAAAGGAGAACAGAGTAAAAACTTTTGCGCAAAAAAAGAATAGAATGTACGATGGAGTATGGATGGTAAGGAGTGTCATCTTATACTTTTGATTTTATTATGCACCGGACACTGACTGATAGCAGCAGATTACTTAGTGCAGGCAAAATGTTTTCTTTTCCATACTATATAGCCTAATATTGTACCTATCTACTATACTTAGCCTATACCTACTATTTAAAAAAAATGTTAATAGGACGCATTTTAATCAAATAATCGACATTAGAAACTATCACTTTTAGCTTTAGATCTGGAATAGTGTTCGGTGTATGGCAAAAGGCTTCATAGGACATAAAGATATGATATAGGCAGTAAAAATTTTGCTTTGTTCTGGGAATAAAAGACATGACATTACGATATACAAATACTACTCCTAATCTCTATACTCCATTTTATAAACTTTTTCGCAAAAAAAAGGAAACAGGCACAGGCGAAGTTGCGGACGGACGGCGGGACGCGAGTAATTCGATTTAGCGACGCTGACTCGATTGAAAACGATTACAGCGAACATCGAGTTGAAAGTTGTTTATTATTTTGCTTTGCGTTGTACCGAATTCGATGATTGAAGTGTAATGAGGTTATATTCGAGTTATATTCGCGAGATGCGTCTTTGTTTTTGTTCCGGTCGAATCTGATTTGCAATATTGGACTCTATTTAAATGTTGGTAGGGCGATTGCTGAGTTCTTTACTCATCCTACCTATTTGATTTTGGATTAGGAATACGATACGATACTTGCACATTAAACATAATCCAGATTCTTTTAAACTGGGATATCCAAGTCTTCCGGTCATCGTTGGGAATGATATCTTCGAAGTAGTAAACCATTACATATACTTAGGACAGATTATCCAGCTAGGTAGGCCCAATTTCGACAAAGAGGTCGTCCGAAGAATCCAACTTGGATGGGCAGCGTTCGGGAAGTTACGCGAAATCTTCTCATCGAAAATCCGTCAGTGCCTGAAGACCAAGATTACCCCGGAGGCCCGTTAAACAGTACGCATGTCAGAGTTGCGGGAAGCCAGAGGACGGTGGCGAGTTCTCGTTCGACGTGGAGGACTAAGGGGGGGGGGACCTTTGTCCAGCTGTGGACATTTTCCGTATAGAAGAGTTGGATTCATATAGAGGAGGGGTTCAGCCAGCAGTATACTGTCATGGACTAATAATAAAGTATAAATTTAATTATTCGGTCTTTGTCAGCTGTGACTGTGACGCCACTCATAGAAACGTTAAGGTGTCACACAGGTAACCACCACTCTTACTCTGTCTGCGGGTTATGGTGTGTGTAGCACCTCATCTTTTAATTTTAAAAAATTCTATTATTTCAGACCACAAAGTCCATAGGCAAGGCTATTTTGTTAGTACAGAAAATCTACTTTTTTTATAATTGATGGGGCGACGTTTGACCACTATCTCACCTGATGGTAAGCGATGATGCGGTCTACGTTGGAGCACGTCGTCCCATAAGCAACCTATTCACTCGGGCCTTGAAGACTCCCAGGTTATACCCTTCAGAAAATACAGACTCTGGCAAAGAATTCCACTCTTTAGCAGTACGCACAAGGAAGCTTGAAGCAAAGCGCTTCGCGCGTGTGGGCGGAACATCTACCATGAATCGGTGACGCTTCGCGGATTGTCTTGTGGTACGATGATGGAAAGGTCTAGGGGGAATCAAGTTGTACAATTCCCCCAATTCCCCCGCACACTCCCCGAAATGTATCCGGTAGAAAACTTATAACTAACGTTAGTCACAAATTATTAAATTCAATTAAATAATTAAACTTAAGCCTATGTATGGGGCGGGGGGGGGGGGGTGTACCCAATAGGCTCACCAGTCCTGACCCCTACACGTGGAGCTCAGTGAACCTACTAAGCGTTAGTTAATATGATATTAGACTTAGAAGAACAAGCCATTTCTTTATATATTACCATTATATCAGCCATGAAGGTACGTGTATCAATTGCCATGCCGTTACCACACAGCCGATCTATGGGACGCCAATTGCTACGATTCCTACATACCTCTTTCGCTTCATCAACAGTCATCAGTCTTTTCATGCATGCTCGTCGGTTAAGGGTGCTTTTAATTAGGCCCTTCTTTGCTATATCGGAAATCTGGTTAGTATATGTCCGTCTAGGGCGCCCTCTACCGGCGTCCCCATTCATATCCTCTCTGTATACGTCTTTCGTTACTCTACTTCAAATTGTACATTCAAACTCAATTCTACACCACCATAGCAATTTCATACACCAAGAAATGGGATTTCAAATAAAAATATATTCTAAGGCAGCTGAAACTTTTTGAAAAAGAAATGAAAAAAGAAAATTACCCGACTATCTGCGGTACGAGTTTTCAGGACAAGTTTTTGCGGGTAACAACTTTTTCAGCGACTAGTTGTAACTTCAGCTGCTGAAAGCCTGTCTTGTATACTATAAACTTGTATAGTATAGTTGTAAAATGTATTTATGTGGGATTATTATTATTTATTTATTTATTTACTAGCCCGCGACTTCATTAGCGTAGAATTGTGATTCACAGCTCCTCCCCCGTAGATGATAGCGTGATAATATATAGCCTATATGATAACCCGACTTGCTAGTAATATTCATGCAAAATTTGAAGTAAATCCATGCAGTACTTTTGGAGATAATCCCGGACATACATACAGACAAACAGACAATCAGACAAAAATTCTAAAAACCATATTTTCAAACCTTTGCCTATGCCTTTAAATATGCAAGTGCGTAGAGACCGTACAATCTGGAGAAGCTTGTGGTTGTTGGTCGGGTTAACGGGAAAAGACCTCGCGGTCGCTCACCTACCCGGTGGTTGGATGCTGTAAAAAACCTCACCGGCCTGACAGTTCCACAAGCCATTAAGACCGCAGGGGACAGGGTCGCTTAGACGAAGGTTGTGCATCAAGTGACGCGTGCTCCAGACTAGAAACGACCTTCAGTAATGAAGAGAATGACTAAGAAGAAGATGACCGTCCACACGTAAATTCTATGGACTTTTATTTCATTACTGGCCGTTGCCCGCGACTTCGTCCGCGTAGAATAATGACTTCTTGCAGAATATAGGCTTTTGAATCATTTTATCAAGGGATATTCTATGGTAATAAATGTCGTCAGAATTGATTCTGTCCCGTAGGAAATAGTGTGATAATTAGCCTATGTGTTGACCTGACTTGTTAGTAATATTCATGCAATACTTATGTGAAATGAAACCATGCAGTACTTTTTGAGATTATCCCGGACATACAAACTGACAAAGATTCCAAAGACCATATTTTTGGCTTCGGTATCGATAGCAGATCACGCCCCAAGTATTCTTTAAAAAAAATATTCAGTGTAGGTACAATTTTGACTTTTCTACGATTTTATTATATGTATAGATTTTCTAAACCTAGTCCCATAAATAAACTCCTAAACACACAAACATCAATCTGAAATCATCACAAACAATGATTACACTGGACTGTACCACATTTACAATTCAAAAATAGCCCACCACCGCCCTCTAGCGTTCCGAATGCAAAACAATACGCATAGGGTTGCTACAAAGAGAATTAATGTGTGTGCAAAACAGCGCATAGTGCAAGCTTTGAGGTAATAATGGCCGCGCGAAACGTGATTAATATTGTTTATTTTGGTATTGTTACGTGTGAAATCCTACGATTTACATGTCTGGAAAATTAGATGGATTTATAAATAAAAAATGGGCCGAGAATGTGAATTTTCTTTATTAATATTAATAAACGAGCTAGTGTTCGTTTGCAAACATCACGTCAGTTCATTTTAATTTTAATTGATTAAGCAATCTTAGTAAATGCCACACTTTTAGATCCGCAACACAGAGAAATTATTAGACCGTTGCTAGCCTTTAGAGGGAGAGAAAAGACCTATAAATTTATCTTACACTAATAGGTTTTTTCCTCTATCCTACACAAAAACATTATTTGAATATAGTATGAGGGCAACGCGACATTAAATTTTTACGGCGTAACAAGTTAAAAGATGTCATTCAAAAATATTTAAAAGCCGAAACCACTCAAGACCCGTCCTCAGTCATTACAAAGCGGCCATTTTGGAAAATTCATAACAATTTTTTCTTATTAAATTTTTAATACGCGTCAACCCTAAGCACGACTCATTTGTTTCACAAATACTTCGAGACAAGACTTGCTTCTCTCGTGTTGGAAATAACAAAAAGTTTTTTTT